TCCAGAAAGTAATTCATAATTTTTCTTCAGCATATCACTGTGGTCAATGTACAGAGGGCTGGTTCAAATATTCTGGCAATTGTTATTATACTGGTAAGGAATTAAAAACTTGGAATGAGAGTTTGATGGCCTGTGCTTCTAAGAACTCCACTCTGCTTTACATAGATAGTGAAGAAGAAATGGTAAGATGTTAAATGTTTCAAACATTTTAGTAGAAACTTATTTCAGTCAATATTACATTTGTAGAATTCATCATATTCTTGTACATATTTTATATTAATTATTTACAGGTCTATACATTATTCTGTTGGGTGACTTCACCAGGCACTGTTTATTTCTATTCACAAGCTAAGGTGTATTTAAGTATTACCAATTCTTGTTGCTCATGGAAAATGATGCTTCTATAAATGCTTTTATTCTAAATTAAATTTTGAAATTTAATCATACTGTATATAAACACATTGTGATTGTACAAATTTATCACAGAGTGAATGGACTCCCATAATACACACCAGAAAATCAAATAGGTGTTTCTAGCCCCAGTAGCCCTGCTCATGTGAATGGTCTCTTCATTTCTCCTCCCTTCGTATCAAACCACTGTCCTGAATGTTAATATTACAAACTTCACCAGTGTTTGAATTTTCATAAGTGACAGTGTGCACTTTCATGTCTATCTCCTTTACCCTGTGTGATACTTGTGTACTTCACCCATATTAATGCCGTGAGCTAGAGTCTGTTAACTTTCACTGCAGTATTATGCACATAGAACATTTTAAAATCCATTCTATCTGGTGTGTCTGGATGGGGGATGTGAGTCTCAAGTACCCAATGACATAGAGGCTTCTTGGATGGGGAACTTGTGGTCATGGCATTCATTTGTTGGTTCCCTCAGCCACACCTATCCTGGAGTCTCCTGGTGGCAGAGCAGAAGCTCTGGCTCCTTATTGTGAGGAGGTCTCCTGTGAGATCTCCCTTCCAGAAATGAGCTTAGTTCACTGAGGCACCGGGTTAAGGGGCCTTTCATTGCTGGGTTGAGTGCTGGGAAACAGCAGGCCAGGGTCACGTTCTTCTGTTGGGTAGGGAACTTAAGATGCCCAGACACTTTGTTGATCTTTGATCCTGGGGTCTCAAACCATTCCACCTTCTCTTTCCTCCTTTCAAAGACTCCTTTGCCTGAGTCTTTCATAAATTTTAAAGTTTATAGTTGCATTTAGTAGAGGGTAGCACCTGTTTGGGAGCCTCTGGTGATTCACCTACACCAAAACAGACAACAGTGGGGGGTAGTTAGTTAAAGAATTGTGTGGAAAAAAAATTAATAAAAAAATTAAAAAAAGAATTGTGTGGTATGCACCAACCAGCATTTTTAGCTTCTATGTCTCTTATTTCCTTAATGGCAGCCCTTTCAATTCCCTTCAAAACCCTAAACTCAAAGA